TGGGCCTACAGCCTTGGCATTGCCCTTGACTCGCTTATCGAAGACAGAGAGCAGGCTATCTTGGAGGAGGTCGGCAGCGGAATTGTCATCCTCTTCTTGCTTTTGGGTGAAGGTGGCGAGTGTGTCAACGAAGGTATCTGGAAGTGGGAGAGACGGGTCGACGAGGAAGGTATTGATGGTCTTGACGAGCTCCTTTAACGAGCTGCAGTTATTTTATTCGGTCAGACAAAGCGTGTGAGCAGGGGCCAAGATGTATCAGAGAAGGTAGCAATGACATACGTTGTGGAAGCCATCGTCAAGGCTCCCGCGCCGCTGGCATGAGGCGCAGAAGATAGGGATATATGTCGGCTTCTTTCGACTGCCTGAGAAGGTTTTGAGTTGGCTCGAGATGGAGTTTGGACTGCTTGCAGCCGGACCCGGAGCTGTAGATGGTGCCGAAGCTCGATCAAACGGATGCCGGCCGATGGAGGAGGCTATTGACGCATGGGCCTGATTGGATTGGATGGTGGTGCTGTGGTTGTCAGACTCGAGAGCTTGCGCCGAAACGATGATGACATGGGAGCTTGTTGCAAGGCTGGAGAGTGAGCAAGCACCAGGTCGGCAGCCAGCCACTTGGAGGGGAGAGGTGGGGCAGGCAGAGTGAAGGGCACATGTGGGGCATATTTGCGCCAGGCGGACACAGGAGTGGTCAGTGGTCAGAGCACTTGAGGGCAGTCTGTGCCAGTACGAGGTTGCCAGCTGTCGGCAGGTGCATCTGCGAACCACTGCTTTGGAAGGTCCGGAGCCTCAGATGCAAGGCGCTCACTTTGTCAGGCAGCGAAGGAGTAATTGAACCTCGGGTCCTGAGTGCAAAGATGATGATGAAGGCAGCCTCTTCTGTCAGGTACCGCTGCCGTCAAACATGGGCAAACAATGGGAAACGTGCTCAACTGCTCATCACGGCATCGACAACATGCGACCCCACTTCTAACCTGACAGCTCTGCAGCCAAAAGGACACATCAATTGATCGGAGGACCCTCTTTCGCCCCTAAAACCCCGCAAATCGAAGACACTTGACCGCATGACCCGTGGCCCGACCCCACGAACTAAGCTGGCATGGTTTGGAACTGCATGGATCCATAAGGTGACGGAATCAAGTGATGCGAGGTGGGACGATGGGAGGTGTTGGACAGCTGATGCTGAGGTGTTGGACGGTATCCGAGACGGTATCCGAGTGGCCTCACTTTGGCCAACAGTCTTGCAATGGCCATGGACTCCGCTCAAGGACTCGAGCTCCTCGGTGAACTACCTGACCGAGCCCCAAGAGACTTCTAAATGCCTGCCCAGCGCGATTCGATGGAATGACTCCAGAGCGGGTGCGTCACATCTAACGCGACGCCCGAGGTAATGATTGCCGCATCGAGCCACGCTGGCCCCTCTTTGATGGACGCAGCCCTGGTACGTCGAAACGGCAGATTGATGACTCGTGGTTCGACATGATTGCATTCTGGTCAATTGACGGTCAATGGCCCAGGAAATGGGTTCAGTGCCGGCCAATCGACAATGCTATCCATGGACAGAACCATTCTGTACTTTGTAGTCTGCCCACTCCGCGGCGGTGGGTTGGAAAGGCAAGCAGGTGGTCGCGATGTGTCTTGGGACTTCCGGAGGCGGCGCCTCGTCCTCGCGTGAGCTCCAGAAACGATGCCGCTTCCCAGAGTCTAGAATGACCGCCAGCTGGCTCAATTGCCATCTGGGCCGTTGCCAGCTGCCCGAAGCTCTTAAGCTCAAGCTCCACGTCCGGCTTGGAGTCTTGGACCCCTCTTTCCAGAGTTGATCGTCTTGCTGAGGCGCTCTCTGTCTTCCTTCCCCGCGTTTGAACATGTATACATGTACCGGATACCATGTCGTACTGAGTTCAGTAGGGAGTATCCATCATCCATCCATGCCACCTCGCATATATACTTCACATCCTCCTCACCTTGTTCTCGTCCCCCTCTTCCCCCTCCTTCTCCTCTACTCATCGACTTACAACGTGCCGTCTTTTACTACCCATTGACCCTCATCAGCCTCATCAAAGGCTCTGCCCAAGGACCCTAGCCAGACCATTTCTATTTTCTGGTCGCTTTACACACCTTTAGACGGCTTCAACACACCACACACCACGTTGCTCAGTCCAACACACAACAAAGTCATCCCCCCTTCCTGTGACTCACTGACACGACCAACCTCACTTCCCCCAATCCAAACCTCCACACCTCAATACCGGCAAGATGGCTGCACATAAGACGTCCGCAGTGTCGGACGAACCCATTGAAGTCCTCATTGCCCTGCACAACAAGTTCGACCTTCTCGACCTTGCGGGGCCAATGGAGGTTTTCACCACGGCCCAACACGACCCTAAGGACGAGAGTAAGTCGAGTTGCATGACCATTTCTTATTCTTTCACGTAAACTGAATTGTTGCTAACTTCCATCAGCCTCCAAGGCGTTTGAAGTGACTCTTGCCGGGGCTGAGCCCAAGGTCCTTTCCGAACAGGGTGCCATTGTTGGCTCTCAAATCTCCTTCAAGGAAGCCCACGAACGCCTCGAGGACTTTGATATCCTCGTCATTCTTGGTGGCAATTCCGATGAGATCCTCAAGGCAGACACCGAGCCACTTGGCCTCATCAACAACTTTGCTGAGCTCCAGAAGAAGGACCCTGCCCGTGAACGCACCATCCTCTCTGTGTGCACGGGATCTCTTTTCCTTGCCAGAGAGAACATTCTCTCTGGCCTCTCTGCCACCACTCACCCCGACTACTTGACCAAGTTCGAGAATGTTTGCAGCGATGCTGCTACTCGAAACATGACTGAGCGTTGCGACGTCGTTGAAGACGCCCGATACGTCGTCAACAACCTCCGCTTCGACCTTGGAGACGAGGATGAGAATCCATACATTCGCCGCAAGTCAGACGCTGGGCGTCGTCCCTCGAATGCTCGGTAAGATTCAACCTCAAGGCGGATGCTGCTTTTGTGTGTGTACGTGAGTGAGTGTGACGTTGCTAACAGGCTCGCAGAAAGGGCAGCATGTCTTTCAAGGGCTCCAACTCTCGCCGCGAGTCCATTGCGCGCCGTGCCGCGATGCGCCTCGGTGGTCTTCGCGTCATCACTGCTGGAGGAGTAAGCGCTGGCGTTGATGCAGCTTTGTATCTCGTCAGCGCTCTGGTTGATGAAGAATGTGCGGTGGAGGCTGCCAGGTTGATTCAGTGGACCTGGAACAAGGGCGTAGTCGTCGACGGTCTCGACGTCTAAAATGCTCATGCCGGCAGAACGTGTCGGCGACTGAATCGTGGTCTGCAAGTGTATCATCCCGAAAGGAAGGGATTGGTAGTGGGCCACGACGGTGTAGGAAGACCGCAATATCCTGTGTGACTCTAGTATAACTTGTAACGTACTCCAATCAATTGAAATGAATATATGACTGTATATGTCTGTTCTGCGCCAGGTGTGACGTTACGGTTTGCCAATGTAAGATTACACCCAAAGCCCACGGCGCGAGTGCTTGTATCGTGTGACGGGGAATAAGACACCAGTTGACGTTATGAGACTGATGCGATCAGACAAGACAGGTAATGAGTATTGCACATGCCACACGCTAGGTTGACTTTTGTGCGAGGCCATGTATTGCCGTTGACGAAGCACTGTGAACTCTCCCACAATACGACAGCGTACAACACAACAAACCACACAAGTGAATACTGGCCGGATGAGGACAGAAGATTTGGATCCGCTGCTGAGTTCTCCTTCTCCGTCTCTCACAGGGAAGGAAAGGACTAAATCGTCCAAAAAAATGACACCTCCGCAAAGCAATGCCTCAAAGCTCGAAATGAGGGATCGTAGCATCCGCAATCGTCTCAAACATGGCCTCCCTGGCGGCCACAAACTCGGCATACGACTCGGCCGACGCGCCCAGCGGCTGTCCGACACGGACATGCTGGCTCCCGCTCCCCAGCAGCGGATACGGCAAGTTGACAAGTTTGTCCACCAGCATGCTCAGCTTACGTCCGCCGTCATCTATGTAATCGTGTAATTCATCTGGCAATAAACGCGCCGCGCCGCGAAATCAGCGAGCCAGCTCACAGGGAAACCTTTTTTTCTTTTTTAGATTTACATACTCTGTACCATTGGCGGCGCCTATACCGGAATTTGTGCCCATGAGGAGCACGCGTTTATAGGGGAAGGTTATTTTTATTCTATTTTATTCTATATTCTTTCTTTCCGGGTGGGTGTCAGTGGGAATATTAATGCGGTGTTGGCCGACTTATTTACTGCCTGGCCGGCAATGAGTAAGGATAGTAAGCTATAAACTGAGGCAGCGACTAGGCCTAATTTATATTTTCGCCATAGAGGGGAGACGGAGATGGGCTTAAGTTGCACATGGACTTTAAGAGTTGGCATCTGTTCTTATCCCCGGATGAGCGAATGTATGGCCCGGGCTGAGCCGCCGAGGTGTGGGTTCCGGAGGGCCAGCTGGTTCGGGTAGCCGATCGTTGTGGGGCGTGGATGACCCGGCGATGCGTGGGAACATGGAACGGGTAGCGCCTTGGGAGAGAATGATATAGATGAGGCGGGGGATTTGGCAGCTTTTTGACTCCTTTCTTCTTTTCTTCTACTTCTTTTTTCCCCCCCCGAAGGAGGCCATAAAATCCGTTGCGTGCGTGGCGTTGCCTCTTGCGGAAAACCGGCTACAACAGCATTATCCTCGGTGGTGGCCATCGTGGTTCCCAGAATGGGACATGTTTTCTTATTCTTCTCTGCTCGTAACATTTCCTCGTTCCTTCATCTCAGCCAAGAATAAACGTAGTATCATCAATGTTCCTGATTCTCCTCGCAACTGTGCAGCAACAAGCAATAGCTTCCCAGAGCTGTGCCTTCAAAAACGCTCTTGTCCCAGCACAAGCAGTTTTGAATGCCATTTCATACCAACGCATACACGCAACTCGAGGAATATACATCATAAGTACCCGTGTCCACCATGACTAGTAGTAACCTCCATCTCCTCCACCACCACCACCACTGTCGCCGCCTCCGCAACCACCGCTATCACCGCCATACGAACCACCACCATCACAACCATACGAATAACTACTATATGAACTGGCATCATATGAACCACCGCCATCACCACCATACGAGCTACCACCATCACCGCCATACGAACCACCGCCACCGCCACCATACGAGCTGCTCCTACCCCCGTAACTGGACGAATACCCATAGTTGTGTTTCTTTCGCGGTTGCGGCGTCGGCGTCTTGCGCTTCAGGCTCCTGTCACTGGATTGGGCCATGGGTACGGGACGCGCATTGTAGTGCTGAGTGTTGACATCCAGCTGTTGGCTTTTGACGCTGGATTGGGCTATGGGCACGGGAGGCGTATTATGGTGCTGTGTGTTGACATCCAGCTGTTGGCTTTTGACACTGGATTGGGCCACCGGCACGGGACGCGCATTGTAGTGCTGCGTCTTGCCATCCAACTGTTGGCTCCTGTCTTGTCGTGAGGGCCAGCACATGTTGCGACTGCTGGGGAAATTGGTAAATTGGAGGACAATTGTCGGTGGTGTTTTTCAGCCGAATGTATCCTTTAACTAGTGTGTACAACGAATAGGGTCGTGAGCAGCGCGCATGAACGGCTGAATGCTTGCGGTTGTCTGATCTGAGCTTGGGTATATAGGCTCTGATGGATCGACGAACTGCACGGGCATAACTGCTGTTAAATAGTTGAATACCTCGGGCTGGCAAAAAGTGACCATCATTCGCAAGCATGACATGGCGAGTTTCTTGCTAAATCACCACGCTATCCAGCTTGGTGCGCTGAGGCCGAATCCCCAAAGGAGACTAGATTCACGCCTGAGCTTCAGCTGACCAGCCCTCTGGGACCAGACATGATTCATCGTCGGGCAGGGCGTGACCTTCAATTAAGCTTAATCCGCCTCGTTTCGGCTTCACGTAAAAACCCGGCCTTGTAAGTCATCATACATTTGCTCTGCCCAGTATCTCGCCGGGCTTGTATCCCCACTCTGCCTCTAGATCCCGCAATCGCCATAATGCTCCCCACCCTGTAGTCCGATCAATGATACGGAATAGCCTTGCGACTTGAACCTGTTCGCTCGGATGGGTGAGCAGCCGCCCCGCCAGATAGAGCGGCTGAATAGCATTAATGAGGCTCGCCTTGTGCGGGTTCGTCCATGATATTCCGCAGACTCGTCTTGCATGCCAGATGGGCGAGCTTTGTGGAGACGGCAATTGTACCTCTGGAGGCCGTGTTTCCAACATTAGAATACATGCCGCGTGGTACATCTGGTTAGATGAGATGGCCGGGTAATTGGAGAACAAAATGGTGGGAAAGACCTGCTCTTGGAACGGCTCCAGCGGCGGCGTGGTAGTAGTTGGCAGCATTGACCACGGCCTTGATTCCAGCCAGAGCTGCAAGTCGCCCCATAGTCTAGTCCATTGCTCGACGAACGGTCTGGTATCCAACTCGTCTGGTTCTTGCAGCTCTAGAACCCTCGTCCTCCGGTACGTCAGGTCGCATGTCTTTGCACACAAATACACGGCCCAGTTGGCATGCATACCGGTATTATCCCGCCCGCTCTGATAGAACGTTGTCCGCGCGAATTCGTCAATTTCATCATTGGTTGAGACGCCTGCTGGCAACGGAGGAATCCATTTATTCAGCGGGAGGACTGTACTCTCTGCACCACCGGATATGATGGCTCCGCAAAGTTCCATGCGTGCATAGCACCAGAAGACTGCCTGCAGCAGGCCGCCCGAGAAGCCGGTAATCTCGAAGAATTCAAACAAGGCCGCGCAGCCTTCGATGTGGCGACGCCAGTTGCGAGGGCTGCCGGACATGAGCTCCAAGACGGCGAGTACACAAGCCGTCACCAGCATGTTGGAGTCCTTGGCTTGCAAGCTGGGGGCAAGGAGCCTGATGGACTCCTGATACAATTCCAAGCTGTCATAGCTCTTTTCCAAGAGTGCTTTTCGCTCTATCTGACGGGCGGAAAAGGCTAAAACGGCGTAGAATAATGGCGGCGACCGCTCAGCCATGATGGGCACATGGATACCAAAGTGTCGCTCATGGTCAAACTTGTCAAGATACGGCGCACACTCGACGATCCAGTTCTTGAAGTAGTGAATAAGCTTGATCTTGGGAATACCGGGGACCCTGGAGAAGTCAAACTTGGACTGCTGGACGGGGAGTTCATCGGGCGGTCGCTGTTGATCCGAAACGGACTCGGGAGTAGTAGTCTTGCTGGGATCATGGGAGCTTACGCCTGCAAAGAGGACGCACCGAAGCTCTTCTTGGAGTTCGATGAAACGGGGGTTGGCCGAGTATTCATCAGCAGTGGCCGAGGATGCTGGCGACAGGAATTGTGGCTCGTAGGGGTCGGCCATGGCGCGACGGAAGGTGTCGTTGGGCACCGGGCGACTTAAAATTACAGAACAATCATGATCAGCGAATACCCTCTCTAGGTGAGCATAGAGATGAAGCTGGAGCAAGGCAGTTGAAGATGTGACACGGATTTCATCAACCGTCGACCCCACACGGACCACACAGACCACACAGACCATAGAAGGTCCCCAAGACGAGGCCCACACAATCGCACCTGCCTCGTGGATGTCGGATGGTTAAAGAAGCTTCGACCAGGATCAAGGATTCGCCCCCGCCGCGCAAAGATTTCCTTTGCCTGCCTGGTAACGCGGCATTGAGAAATTTCAGACTGCAAAGGGAGCCGTATGTACAACACAACGATACGTCTGCATACTCAGACGGGAATTCCTGTCATTGAATTCTTCATTGTTGGATGAGCATCAATATTTCTGCATGTACGCCAGTAGGCCCCGGTCTGGACCAACACCACATGTGCACGCAACCTTTGCTTTGGCTGCCCCCGCCCTGCGAGCACCGCCTTCACAAACCTCTGGCATCATCACCCATCCGAATTAGCTTCGTGTCGACCACCGCATCATACCACGAATGGGTCAAGACCCAAGTCTGCGAAAGTCAGCTGCCATGGCAAAACCTGCCTGAACCCATCGCAGCTTCGCGTAACCAAAACCGCAAAACCATGGCGTCCTGTAGCGCGCCTGAAAGGGGCAACTTAGCCCTCGCCTTTGCCCCAGCCGCGGACCAATTGACGCGGCGATTGAGTATCCGCTTCTGCTTTGGCATGTCCCAAAACGGGGGGCGTAGCCTATGCATCTCTTCAATATCCCGGCCAAGAACCGCGGCAAGGACTGTTGAGGGTTGCGCTGCAGCATCACCGACTGCGGTGACCCATGGGGTGACTGACTCAAAGACGGGGGATACGGGGTGACTCTCCGGGGCAGCAACATACATACATGAACTTTGGTCTAATATATAAAGATGGGGGAGCACGCTCCTCGATATTCATCTTGAGTAGGTGAAGAGTTGGTCAAGATTTGTCTTTTTTTGCCCTCTACGCCCCTTTGCCGTTTGGCCTTGAATCTGCATTCATGTCCAATATGCCCTCGGATACCGAGGCTGCCACGACAAGTGTTCCCTTGGAACCGGCGCAAAGGGTTCTGGCGGGAAAGAGGTCGTTGTGGGAGTCTATCCGATCCAACCCCAAGGTGATTTTCATTGCCTTCTTTGCCTCGTATGTCCTCCCGCCTCTTGACATTTGACTCACGTTGAAACTAACCTTTGTATCTGTAGATTGGGCGGTTTTGAATATGGTTATCAACAAGGTGTTCTTGGCCAATCCCTTGTCATGACACGCTTTATGAAAAACTTCCCATCGGTGGTTGAATCGTCCTCTGCAACGGGCTGGCTCACTTCAGTTTTGCAGCTTGGCGGTATCGTGGGCTCTCTGTCGGCGGGTGTACTCGGAGAACTTATTTCCCGAAAATATACCATGTTTATTGCTTGCTGCTGGGTCGTTCTGGGGAGCTACTTGTACATTGGTGCTCGTGACGGCCTACCATCCCTGCTATATGCCGGGAGATTCTTTACAGGTGTCGGCGTAGGACTATTTAGCGGCGTTGGACCTTTGTACAATGCCGAGCTGTCGGCTCCGGAAATGAGAGGGCTGCTGGTGTCGTTTTATCAATTTGCCACTATCCTGGGTATCATGTTGTCCTTCTGGGTTGGCTATGGAAGCAACTACATTGGAGGTACTGGTGATTCTCAGTCCAATCTGGCGTGGAGGCTGCCCTCCATTGTTCAAGGTATCCCTGCCGTGGCTCTGGCAATCGGTATCTGGTTCATGCCCTTCTCTCCTCGGTGGCTCGTCAAGGTGGGCCGTGACGACGAAGCCAAATCCACCCTGGCCTGGATGCGAAAGCTTCCCGCTGACCACGAGCTTGTGCAAGTCGAATTTCTTGAAATAAAAGCAGAGTCCGTATTTGAGAAGAAGGCTTTTGCTAGAGATTTCCCTCGCATGGCCGAGCAAGGGAGCAAGAGCGCTTTCCGCGAGCAAATCGCCCAATACATCAACTGTTTTCGAACCAAGGATAATATCAAACGAATTGTTACAGGTTTTCTAACGATGAGTTGGCAACAGTGGAGTGGGATCGACGCGAGAAAGTAGCCTTATTCTCTTATTCAAACGCTTCAAACTAACTTGTTGCAGTTATTTATTATGCCACCAACATATTCCAGAGTCTGGGGCTTACGGGAGGCACCATCGCACTCCTGGCGACGGGTGTGACTGGCGTTGTCTTTTTAATAAGCACGGTGCCCGCAATGGTAAGAGCAGTGAATCATGCCTATGAAAGCAAAGGACTAACAGAAACCAGCTGATTATCGACCGGGTCGGCCGAAAGCCAATGTTGCTGGTTGGCTCGGTCGTCATGGGCGTCAGCATGGTCATTGTGGGCATCATTGTTGCCAAATTTAGACACGACTGGCCTAACCACGTGGCTGCTGGCTGGACAGCAGTTGGTGAGTCTCTTCTCGTCTTCTGTAGCCCTCCCTCTCATGTGTTGTGGTTGCGAGCTAACAAAATGCAAGCCCTGATCTGGGTGTATATCGCCGGCTTCGGTGCCACTTGGGGCCCGGTGTCATGGACACTGATATCGGAAATCTTCCCCCTGTCTATTCGGGCCAAGGGCGCATCAATCGGTGCCATGAGCAACTGGTTGAACAACTTTGCCATTGCCTTCTTTGTGCCGCCGATGCTGGAGGCATGGGCGTGGGGCACCTACATCTTCTTTGCCGTGTTCCTCACAGCCGGCATTTTCTGGGTGTGGTTCTGCCTACCGGAAACAAAAAACGCCACTCTGGAAGAGATGGACCGTGTGTTTGGCAGCCATACCGGTGAGAGGGATGCAGAGTTATTGCGCGAGGCGCAGAGAGAAGTCGGGCTCACGGCGTTGCTGGAGGGCCGCGCCGACAGGACGACCAAGGCTGGCGTTGAGAAGCACATTGAAGCACTGTAGTATGACTAGTATTTCTGCTCTGAATGCGCAGAGAGGAGAATGGCCAAAGCGATTTGTTCCAGGGCGTGTGCGACAATGAATGGCATCCAGAATGCTCACCATAGCAAACATCAGATGACCCGTGGGAGTCGGCGCCACCCGATGGAGTCGCTCACGTTTTTTCCCCGGCTTTGTCACGAGTGTGGCATGGATTGATGCAAATGCTCCATGATGGATCCAGCTCCTCAAGCCAATAATGGCAGCCACCAGAGGCTCGCATCCATGATCCATGCCCGCCAGTCCCTCATCCCACACCTCACCCCAGAAAAACAAAACGGCAGGCCAGCAAAACCAACACTCATTCATTCATCTCTCTCCCCCCCTCTCTCTTCTCCCCGCGAGACGCTTCCAGTCCGGCCATGACCAGCGGCTTCTCAGACGGTCCCATATGCCTGTGATACGCTCCATCCCAGAAAACAAGCGCCGCGTCCGCACCGGATGTCTCTCATGTAGAAAGAGACGGAGAAAATGTAGCTACGATCCCATACCCCTGATTTCGCCATGCGCCTCGGGCTATTTCGGGTGGTATCCTGCATGATGCCCGAGGGGCCCCAGCATCGGCGCCGGATCTACAAGAGGAAGGGGAGAAATTAACGTCTGGTGTTGTAGGCGATGAGCGGAAGCCAAGGTGTACGAGCTGTGAGGCGAGAGGGGCAACGTGCGCGTATCCCGATTTGCAGTTTATCCCCAAGTCGACTGCAGGGGATGTTGTTGAGTCCGTGAGGCTGAGAAACAGTCGGTATGCTCGCATCAAGGTATTATGGCGGCTTTGGACTGTCCCATTGTCGAACACGGCAAGCCAGAGTGCATCGTCTAACATGTCCAGTTTGTAAATGAACCGCTGTCACCTGTATCCGAACCATCCAATACAGATAACAACGGCGGCGGCTTCGGCAGACATATCGGCAGACACTCAGACTCTCAACAGCTAGACGTTCGCGACTCGCGCCCCAGCAGCATCACCATCGACTCTCTTCTCACAACCGCCCCTTTCACCGAGGACCGCAAAAGAGACTTGCCGCTCGTAGATTGGGACGGGTATTTCGCTACAAAAGATGTATCCGCGGGACGCAAGCACCTCGCCCTGCTACGTCATTTCCGGTACACCACGGTTCCCTGGATGGAGGCCGGGGACTTGTCGTCGACGTTTGGAACGGACATTATGCGCCTTGCACAGGAACACCCGCCGATCCAGAGCGTGATTCTCGACTTATCCGCGAACCAGGTGGCTCTGATTCGTCAACAGAGAGACGCGGCGGACGGACAAACGCAGAAGACGCGGATGCGTGCTCTCGAGGGCCCTGCCAGGAGGATAGCTGACTCACTCTCAGGTATTACCGAGTATCTGCAATCAGGGCCGTCGCAATGGAGGAGCCGCGCAGCGCGCGAGATGGGACTCGTAGGCCCGGACGCGACGGCGCTTTCGATCGAGGAGCCGCTGCGGACTCTCTGCAAGCTCCATTCACGCTTCGGTACGTCCATGTCCAGGCCTCCAGACTCTGCACCGCCGTCAATGGCCCGGGGACTAACATGCACTTGCACACGAAAGACCTGGCATCGTCCATCATTCTGCGCCAACGGCCCCTGACGCCGAGATCATTCTACTCCCCGCAAGGCTTCCCGCCGGCGTGGAATCCCGAGTGCCCCGGCGCCGCGTACCTGTGGTCGATCCACCACCTCACCGTGGCCCTGCACCTCGTCCACGACGCATCTCTGTCGCTCCCGCAGCCGCTCCTCCAAGACTCCATGTGCACGTCGCCGAACCCAGGCACCTGGGCGGCAAAGTGGCTCGCCGTGTGGACGAGCTGCCAGGCGTGGCGGGACCGGCGGCCGGCGACGATGCGGCCGGCGCTGGACATGGGCAACCTCGAGGCCGACGCCGACGCCGACGCCTCACTCCCCGTGCAGCTGTACACGCACGCGCTGGCCATGCAGGCCAACGCCGCGTACCACCTGTGCTCGCTGCTGCTGCTGGCCGGCAAGCCGCGGCTGCTGCACCGGAGGCTCCCCGGGCTCGCGGCGGCGTCATCGCGGGGCTGGCACGTCCGGACGCTGGCGGGCATGGCGTGCGCCAACGACCTCGCGGAGCAGTGGGATCCGGTGCTCGTCGCGGGGCTGCTGCTCGCCGCGCGGGAGGTGACGCACCCGGCGCAGCAGGACGCCGTGAGGACGTGCGTGCGGAGGATGAGGGCCGCGACGGGTATTGGTGTTGGGGTGGAGGGCGAGGTGGCCGAGCTGGAGGCGCTTTGGGGGGCAGGGCGATGCGCGTGATTCAACATGGAATGTTGAAATTCAATGGTGCTTGTTTGCGGTGACAGCAGTCAGTGTAATTAACGCCAGTGCTTGTTGGGCAAATATATTAGTGCTGCTACACGTTGTGCTACAGTGGGGGTACATGCATGTGGTACATCGACGTTGATGTTGTAGGTGCCCAACTCCAGATGTCCAGATATCCCATGGTACCAGTCAACCACCCAGTGCCACAGGCCACAGCACCAGACTGCGACGCCTCGTCACATCAACGATGCACTCACAGCTTATTCCGCCCCCTCCACCTCCGCAGCAGCTCCGTCACCCTCGTCCGGGGGCTCCGGCCGTCGACGTAGCCGATAAACGGCGCGCCGACCTTGTAGCCCATCATGCCGACGAGGCGCGGCGGCACGTCGTCGAGCTTGTCCCAGTCGACGGCCAGCAGCTGGTTCTCCAGCGGCCGCATCCACGGCTGGCAGTACTGCACCGTCAGCGCCAGCCTGCCCGCGCCCGAGGCGTTGCGGCCCCCGCCGTGCCAGAGCGTCCCGACAAAGTACACGATGCTGCCGGCGGGCATGGCCACGGCGACGGCCTCGGACCGCGCGGGCACCCGGTCGCCGGCCCACGTGTGCGACCGGGGGACCACGCTGGCGCCGGGTGCCGCCGTTGGTCGGGGTGTAGTCGTCCAAGGCTACCATGATGGCCTTGTATTGTCAGTAAAAAAAGTTAAAAAAAATAACAAAACACGCCATCATTCTCAGCAGCGAAAAAAAAAGAAAAAGGAAAAAACACCCACCGCGCCAAACGGCCGATGCGGCCTCGGCACCGTCACGTACTGGTCGTCGTGGTGCAGCCTCTGCGCCGCCTCCCCCGGCCCAATGTTGACGCTGTGCAGCGCGTTCAGCAGGTACCCCTCGTCGAGGAAGTGGTCGTTGAGCGCGAGCACCGCCGGGTGCAGCGCGAACTGGTCGAAGCAGCGCGCCTTGTTGAGCAGCGCGTAGATGCGCTGCGTGCGCAGGCCCTCGAACGCGTTCCGCCCCGCCTGCCCGGCCGGCCCCGCCTCCGCCGTCCCCGACAGCCGCCCCAGCTCCGCCTTGGCCTGGGACACTTGGCTGGCCGAGAAGGCGTGCGGGATCACGACGTACCCGTCTCGGGTGACCTGGTCGATGAGCTTTTGGATATCACGGGCTTCGAGCGTTTGTGCCATTTCTTTTGTTTCTCTATTCTTCACATCACTCTGTTCTTCACCTGCACTGCTGTGTCCAAATAACCCCGTATTTATCGACGTGGGGATTGCGACAGGTTGTGGGGTAGAGCCACTCGAACCGAGGCACGTCTCCACGAGGATTGGGCCGATTGGATCGAGGCAAAAAGTCAATCTGCATTTCGACACGAGACCCCTGGACTGTAGGCAGGCATATCGTATTGTCGCTTGACCGGCTGTCGAACGCGGATGGCGGATGCCAACGGCGACTGGCTGCTGCCACGGCAAACTTGCACAACCACAACATACATTGCGAACCAAGTCATTTATACATTACTCTATCTACTCAAGCCCATGTCTACTATCCCGTCATCTCCACTCATCATTGAGCGTCCCCGTGCTACGGCATCCGGTAGAGGATGTCGCGCTACGATTGGGGTCACTCTCCCATACAACACTTCCCTCACTCGTCTTCTTGATATACTTGTACTCAAAGTTTGTACCAGCAGGGATCGTGACCTTTGCGCTCCAAAGCGGGTTGCTGGGGGTGTATTGTGACGCATCCAAGGGAATGGCATCCGCCGGTGACCAGTTTTTCAACTCGGTAATGGAGCCAACGACATAGATGTTCTCTCCGGGAACCGTGGTAACCTTGACGTTGAAGGTCATGGTGGAGTCACAGCTAGGAGGAGCCTCGCAAACCTTGGGAACGGTATTGGCGTTGGGCTCTCCCCACGAGGGTGGAACAACGCCAGATCTGCGTTCGACAGCTCCGACGAATGATGCGTACGACCAAGTCAAGTGAACAGCAGACTTGGGGCTTCCCGTTTCTCGGTCGTACTGTTCGGCCAGGGAGCCATCGGCGGGAGTGTATTGCTTCACAACACTGATAAAGTCATCTCCATAAGCCGTCACTGCCCTGATAATGGAAGTAAAGGTGTCAGAGTCCTTAGCATAGGTGCCTGCAGCAATATTTTGCATCAGATCACTGAAGAAAGGGAGAGACGTCGCGTCCACGGTAATGGAACCAATTTTCCGCCACTGGTAGACCGCAGCGTACATCTGCTCGGCGGCTGCCATTGTGGCCAAGTACCAAGGGTTACCGTTATAGTATACGTCTTCTGAGTAGCGGCCTACAGCAGCTGCCCTGCCAGGCGTTCGGCCCTTATTCACGGTATAAATGGTACGGAAGGAATCGACAACTGCCTTGTGATTGGCCAGGGCTCTGGATGAACACGGCTGGAAGGTGGCATCTGTGCAGGCAGCTGCAGGATCAAAAGTGTGAATGGACGAGATGATGGAGTTGACGTCCTTGCCGGTTCGACCATCGTTGACGTTGATGTTGGAGTCGATATAGCCACTGGCCCAGAAGCTTTGAAGGAAGCAGAGTATTCTAGGTGCGTTGGTTTCGCAATCTGGGCACTGCTTGCCGAGTGCCTTGGCGAGGGTAGCGCCTTCGACCAGAGCGCGAAATGAGGCGGAGAGAGTAAAGAAGGAGGAGCCGTTGATTTCCTCCCATAAATCGAAGCCGGTTCGGTTCCAATACTGAACCGTGTATGCCAGGTCTTTGGCAATAATTGGCCAGACGGTGTTTGCAGCCTGAGCTTGGCCCCCATTGGCAATGAGCCAGTTGGCATAAATGGTGAGAGCAGTGGCTCGCAAAGGAGGACCATCGCGCTGTGGCCTACCCCAGGGACCAGTAAAGGCTGTGAGATTGACGTGGAACTTGGGCTCTCCCAAGCCGCCTGTGTCTGGTCCACCGGAAGGATTGCTCACCCCTTGTAGACGTGTCTGGGCGGTCATGTACTGCTCAATCTTGGGCTGCAAAGACTTGTTCCCGCCAATAAAGAGCTCGATCAAGACCTTGAAGGTCAAAGCAGAGTCCCGGCTCCAAGTATACCAGTCTATTGCAGAGTTAGTCTCAAGTCTCCCAGCTGCTGGGGAATGTTGTCATACAGTCAGGATCCGACTTGCTTGGGCTGGCCACGACAGCGCCAGCCGCGGCACCCTGGGCCCGTGACCCATCAGAGCCAATATTGGCCAGAACTCCATCAAGGGAAATGTGGTTCTGTTTGGTGATGAAGGCATTTAGGTCGTCTCGGCAAGAAATGCGGCTGCGAGCTACGGCTCCATCCAGCCACAGGCCAGCCACCGCCAGCACGCTGACGAGCTTCTTGTACATTGTGCCCTGGGTTTCAACTTTCAACAGGCTGTGCGTCCCACGAGCCGAGTCTGATGTGCAGCTTTCGTCCGATTGCTATGGCTCCAAGGCCCCTTAAATAGTCAAAGCTGGACTTGTTCAAAACTGTGCAAGTCTGTATGGTCATTTGACTCGATGATGCCGTCGCCCCGCTTCTGCGGTTCGCTTGTAGAGTCGTGCTGGGGAGATCGGTCCGTTTCCCCAGCTCATTCTGGGGTAAAGACGACGAGAGCTGAGCGAGGACTCGGGGCGCCGTGGGCTGTTCCCTGCTTGGCTCCGAGTTTATCGGGCCTTTGGAGGCTCCGAGTCCACTCCAAGAGCGTCGTTGCATGGGGGAGGTGATGTGGGCGATGCGGGCGATGCGGGCGATGAAATCTGTGCTGGTGCGACACGCCGACAACCAACCACGACGCCCCTCTGCACTCGACGTCTCCCGATTCGGCATACTGGCCGGCGTTGACGATGTTCTTCCAGGAACAAGGTCCCATCAGTAGGCAAGGATCGTCGGGCCGACAGAACTCGCTCGGCCAGGCTTTCAACCCCATGGGGCCCATAGGCCTATTTGGCGGCGCTGGCAGACGCACAGCCTTTTGGTATTGGAAATGAATTCGAGGCCCAGGAACCGCTGCTTGCTCGTGGCTTGTTGAAGCCATTCATGTCGGCTCGCGGGGTGCCTAGACCGAGTCGATAGTCGGTCGTCGACGGCGTAGTCGCGGGTCATTATTGCAGTTTCCTTTACCTGGGGAGCGGGAGTGGTTCATTGAATCATTTGCATGTGATTGGAGAACCCTGGCCTTTCTGCCATTGAATTTGCAGTCTTTTCGACCTTGACTGCCTGTCGGCCTTGACCGACGATGAGGTGGAAACATGAAGAAGCATGCAGATGCTCATCGGAGGGGCGATGCTGTGTCAATATTTCGGACACAAATGGAGGGAAGGCACGATGCAGCCTCGGATGTCGGCATTTGAACTGCCTGAATGTAACGGTCCGATCAACGCCCACCAACAACAATGCATCACAGTGTCGTATTTCAAGACATTGCAGAGTGTGTATCTGTCTAGAGCAGATCGACGCCTGGGCCGGATTGCCTCGCCCTTCGTGGGAGAATTGGCAATGCGCACAATAATTATGGTTCGAAATCACGACACTTTCAAACAAAACAATGACGCCAAGAAATGAGAAACGCCGTTACTGATGAGGCACAGATGTGACACGCAAGCTAAAATGTATCTGTATTTGAAATCCGAGGCGAAACTAACTAACTGATTTGACTGACTTTTCCCACACCAGAATTTGCTACTATTTTTATCAGCAAACTGTTGACTTCTTTGTGGTGGTAAAAAAAACGTATTTTAAGGCATTGGGAGCCCAACACAACTTCTCATTTCCAAGTCCCAAGCCCTTCTCCCAATATTTTGCTTTAACAGCTGCGTGGATCCGGTCTTGTAGACCAAGCTATTTCGTTGTAGAATAGCTGAAGAGAATAATAAACGTAAAGACTTGCATCCTTCAATAACACACTGCCAGCGCCGAACAGGACCGTTTTAATAATGATGGCCATAACTGTCCAATTTCTCTTTCCAATAGTCGATTTGAGTCCCCAACCCAAGGCACTCCAATAGGGCTGGCCACGCCGGTCTATGAAGAGCAGCTTGCTCCTCGAGCGTTTTCCAAATGCTCTCTGTGATGCTCCTGAACTCTTGGGGCGAACAGCAGGCAATCTGAATGATCTTATTCGATAGCTCTATCCAGTTGCTGATGAAATCTTGCTCAAAAGTCGACTCTGCATATCGAAACTCGAACATCGAAGGCAGTCCTCGAATGTAGTCCGGCGCCGACACCCTCTCCGTGACTTGTCTCCTGTCAACAGGAATGCGGTCCTCGATGTGAAAAGTAAACGCACATTTTCCCTTGTCCTCTGTCCACAAATACCTCACAATATCCCTAATATTCGTAATATCCTGAGCGCTCCAGAGCACACGTAGAATGTTCTGAAAGCGCTCGGTTCGGTGGTCGTTCCACGGCGCTTTTTCGAGCCTCTCTCCCGCCCAAGGCAAATACGCCGACATTGCATCGCTATAGCGTTGTAGGGCGGATAGATCGTCTGGCAGCTGAAGATTCGCAATGACCGACTTGCTTCCAATGGGATGGTAATTCTTCGGGTCTCGACGGCTCGGTGCGCAAAGTCTGCTGAGGAGCTGGTCTTCCAGTAATAAGACGAGGGTGACGGCCTTCCGGGCTACCATTAAGCGTATGCCGCCTTTGACAGCAACATATATCGTCATTCCGTATCCCTCGTGGGACATGATGCGGATATTAGCGGCTCTTTCTACATCCTGAAAGGCCTCTGATGCTTTTTCCGCGGCTTGCTTGGGAGTCAAGTCCGAGTATGGCGGAGAATACATCTCAACTCCCAACTTGAATCCAGCTTCGTATGGAGCGCTCAGGTCAGTGTACGTCAGACAGAATCCGTCGGTGTCTGGAACATGTGTGTCTGTGTCATGGCAGCGAATGCCAGGGAGTAAAACCCAGCGAGGGTTGATGTAATGGTTTTCCAACCTTTCGTTGAAGGCCTCCTCGGAAATCTGGGACGATGAGCATGTTGCACAAAACTCTACCCCGAAACTGAAAAACTCGAGACATGATTTTGATTCTGACATGGCTGTTGGAGAGACTTGCGAGGTTGCGTGGCCGCATAGCTGGGTAGTGCCGAGACGCTTGTTAAATACTATTCTGCGTCTTATTGAACATGGACATTCAGACAGCGACGGCAGCACACTGCTGTTTGAACAGTGAATAGCT